AATTATTCCAACAATAATAACCACCTCTACCACCACTCTCTAGCACCTAAAAACAGAATCTGATCAATATGTGGGTTAAAGAAATAATGATTGAAATTATAAAATATGTAGAAATATAATAAAATAATGCTTATCAAATTTCCATTGCAAAGTTTTATTTTAAAAAACAGGGTAGAGTTAAAATAAATATTTTGTTCAAATCAAGAATCAAGTGGGAAAAAATGGGGTAAAAATCAAAGAAAGAAGGTGAAAGGAATATGCACACACACAAATAATGAAATGGGAAAAGAAAATAGAAATGATCAGCAAACCCAAAATAAGACAGAGAAAAATGACTAGTAAGTTAGACAAACCTCTAACAATTACCACCACATGAAAAGTTATTCATGGCAAAATCATTAATCAGGATAAAGGAAAACACAATATAATTCTCAAAGGAACAATGGACTAAGAAACTCACAACCGTGAATGTGTATACTGTTGACATCACTTCCGTATACAAAAGCAAAATTATTATAAGCAGAAATTGACATGATCATAATAATAGCAGAATATTTGTTTAGAAAAAATTACATTAGAGGATTTTTAAAAAATTGTTAGAGTTTTTCTGGGTGGTATGTGTGTGTGTGTGTGTTTGCTTTTAATTAATGGAGAACTTAAAAATCGACCAAAGAAAGCAAAAAATAATAATAATAATAATAAAACTCCAAAGCAGAAACAGACAGATAGATAGATAGATAGATAGATAGATAGATAGATAGATAGATAGAAGGATGGATGGAGGGAGGAAGAAAGAGAGAGAGAGACAGAGAGATGGATGGATGGATGGATGGATGGATAGATAGATAGATGATTGACTGACACTAGCTTCAAGATAGTTGTAATTTTGGAGACGAAAGGATGGAAATTGGATTTTGAATGGATACCAAGGGGGCTACAACCCTTGTCAACAAATATTTTCTTTGCTTAAAAATAAAATCCTGAAGCAAATATGTAAAAAAAAAATTGTTAAATATCAGCATTAGCTTTAAGTGTGTTCCTACACTATCCTCTCTGTATTACTGTATGTTTAAATTATTTTATACACAAATAAAACAAACACGTGGGTCATAATGGCTCCTGGTATACCTTAATGAAAAGAGAATTACTGAGACATTTTTCAAAAATCAATGCTCCAGAGAAAACAACTATATATATGTATATATATACACTTTTTTTAAAGCAAAGAGAGTTCTAAATAACAGTATTAACTGAGGAGGACAGTGAGATGGCAGCAGCCATACTCCACTGATGTCACAACACTATGGCAGTAGTGTTGATGTCCCCCCTCAGTAGTTATGGCACTGCAGTATCTGTAGACAGTCTCATGACTGGATCCCATTCAGCAACTTGGCAGGATAGGATCAGGGTCCCGTGTCCAAGAAAATAGTTTCCAGAAGCTGAGCAGCATGTGAGGACTGGACCCCACCTCTCCCAAGACTATATCCTGCTTATCAGGGTACCAAACATAAATGCAGTATGTTGGCTGAATCATTATTTCTTCATGCTCAATCTGAATGCTTCAGAAGAGGCTCATCTCACATTTAGCTCCAGGATTGAGCACATGACCCAGGTCTGGCCAATCAGAGCGCCACATTCCCTCAAACACACTGAACATGCTTCATGGATATGCATCAAAAGCCTTCCTCAGGACTGCTGCTGAAATGGTCGAGGAAGGGGAACCCTACCTGGAAACCATGAGTATTAAAAGTCTACATATAGTTGAAGTTGCTGGTGATCATCTTTTCTACCATCTGGGAAGCAGAAGTAGGAAAGAGAGAGGGAGATGTTTAAAGGGAGGAATGGGGAGAAGAGAGGAAGACCAATGCTTCTTTGTATTTTTCTGATAAATGTGCATTGCTTCTCTTTTTGACTTAAGCTAGTTTTTGTGAGTTTTTATTACAAGTAAAAGGGTTCTGACCCTATTATCCCAGCCATAAAAATCAGGCAAAAACTCTAGTACTAGCTGAAGAAGAATTTTCACGGCTAATGAATGTGCTGATGCAGAAGCAGGCTGACATTCCCATGGTGGTGATAGATTTTTCGGGGTCATACCTGTTTAACTTCGTGATCAATGGCATAGACCTTTGGGACAGCTAGCAGGATGAAGGTGCAGCCCGTGGCAATAGAACTGGGATTTTTAATCTTGTGAACTACCTAGCCTGCGTATTAGACACTCAGTCTCACTCTCACTAGGACAGCCTGCTAAGACAAACTGAGCTCCTCAGCCCAAAACAGAGACATTGTCCTGCAGAACCTACAAAACCATCATGGGAACAGCCAGCAAAGAGGGGAAAATGATGATACTCAACAGCCAACTTTCTTAGGTGTGAACATTAAACAAAGAATGGGATGACCTACAAACCTCTACTCTCTATAAAAAGCATTCTAGGAGAAGAGAAATTAGCTACAACCATAAGAGCAACCTTGATGCTCCAGAGATGTGTCAAATGGAACTTGTCTAAAATAAAACCAGTCATCCTCTTTTACAAACATGACCCCTCCCCCACCCTTGCCCTGTATTTACCACATATGAAGTGGGTGGGATATAGTCTATTTACAGTTAGTACCTGAACTATCTTTAGAAGGAAATACTTGATAAATACTTAGAGTAAAATGTTAGGCTTTCCCCACCCCTCACCCTCGTCCCAAGGTCACAAGGGCTGGGGTGTCAGTGAGCACCAACGGTTCAGAGAATAAGCAGCAACCACTCTGCCTGCAAGGGGGGGACATTTGGGGAGTGGTTTGTGGCTCCAGAAAAGGAATGAAGAGGATGAGAAAACAAAGGAGAGTGAAAGGAAGGGGTGAAGAGTGGAGTCAAGGGTTAATATGAGGCCAAATGCAGCAGTGGGGAAAGGCCAAGGGGATTTTTGAGGACAAGACTATAAAGGAATGATTTTAGGAGCTTTCTTTCATGGTGTCCATGGTGACTACTATCTGACCAAAAGCTCTTGGGTCAAGCCTACAATATTCAAGAATGTTTCTCTGTATGTTTTGCAGGAAAAAGTGAAGGGGACAGTTTCACATATAGATAAAAATTGTGTAAAACTCCACAGCGTTACAGACGAAAGTAAGCTTCAGGAAATCTTGGAAATACCGAGGGACTTTAAACTTCCACAAGAGGAAGGTGGGCTCCAAGCACTCTTTTCTGCTTCTCAAAGGGCCAGGAGACTCACCTGACAACAGATTATCCTGCTCTATAAATGATGCTGTTGTCCTTTGGCATGCTCAAGTCTTCCTCAATTTCTCTCTCCCTCGGTATTCACATTCTCCCAGGCTGTCTTCTTCCATTTCTTCTAAATGTCTCTCAATGTCCTTCCTTCAAGCTCTTTCCTCCTGAAATACTCCTCTTCTTACAGTCTCCATCTTTGTTTGGTTCTACTAAGTCACGAAGTCACGAAGTGACTCCTTAAATCTCCTCTCCCTATAACTCCTGATCACCAATTTGTCTCTATTCTACCCGCTAAATATTAGTCTTGCTTCCTCTCCATTTCTACTATACTAGTCCAAGCTTTCATCTTCTCTTACCTAGAAATTGCCTTCTTCCAATCTTCTTCATCCTCTCTCCAGTGCCATCAAAATGATCTTTCTAAAGTATGTTTTATCTTAATACACACTTGCTTAAAGCTTATCTATGGTTTCCCATTGTTTTTACCATAAAGGCCAGTTTTAGCATGTCATACAGTCTGATTCAGTGCCACTTCTCTCTATATTTCACTAGCCAGACTGAACCATCTGTAGTTCCAGTATATATTCTGTCACATTTTCTACTTGTGGTTCTTTTGGCTGCCCCCTCCTGTCTCATGGACAGTTACTACTCACCTTACAGGCACTGCCTCCTCTGTGAAGGTTTCCCCAAATAACAGCTCAGCACTTTTCTTCTGTTTACTTGCATCACTCCATGTAGACCTTTATAATGACTTCTTTTACAGTGAGATATAATTTCAGTTAAATTTCCCCCACTAGTCTATGAGCATTTTAAGGAGGGTATGTGTGTCAGAAGTTTCCATCTCTCACGCATAAATGGAAGTAAAGTCCACCTCAAAGAGCTATTGTGAGAAGAAAGAGAATTCATGAATGTGTGATATTTGGCCAATGCTTAGAATACAATTATTTTTTGTAAGTATTATTTACCTTCTGTTCTCTGTACTCCCATCTCCCATAGATACCCAGAACCTAGCATAAGGCCTAGAACTGATACACTCTGGTTATTGCATGGGGGCACTACTCTAAGAGCGGCAAGTTTTAAAGCTAAGAGATAATGCTTTCAGCTTTAGAGGAAAGGGATGTACCAGATCTGTGGCAGAGGAGACAGAGAGAAGGGGCATGAACCTAGCATAAGGCCTAGAACTGATACAGCCCCATTACATACTTCTCAAATGATGACTAAAAAAATTATTAATTTTATCTAGTGCTTCACAGTTTACACAATCCTTTTGCCTGCATTGGCTTATTTAATCACCAGTGTAAACATACCCTCCTCTTCACCCTCCACATCCCACCAACCTCTCTCCCTTAAGGATTATATTTACTGGCTTCTGAAATCATGCCCCTTCTCTCTGTCTCCTCTGCCACAGATCTGGTACATCCCTTTCCTCTAAAGCTGAAAGCATTATCTCTTAGCTTTAAAACTTGCCGCTCTTAGAGTAGTGCCCCCATGCAATAACCAGAGTGTTTGATCAAAAATGCGCTGTTGTCCTCACACCTCTGCCTGAAAGCTTTGCTGTATCCCCAGAGCTCTCTGGATAAAGTTGGGGCTCCTTAGCAGGACTCACAGGGCCCTTCATGGCCTGGCCCCTACACCCACCTCCAGCCACATACCCTACCACTACCTTTCTCTACAATCAAACACTGCCAAACCTCTTGGAGTTTTTCACATAAACCAGATTGTTTCTTCTCCCCCCCACCCCCACCATGATGACACTAATCCAATCACAGCTCAAATATCATGTCTCAAAGGAAGTTTTCCATGAACACTCAGACCAAGAAAAATTTCCCTTTCCTGTATCCCTATGGAACCCAGATCATATCACATAGATCCATACCATATTATATTGAAACCATCCTTGTATGTATCTGATTTCTCAATAAACTGTAAACTCTTAAGGAGAAAGGATTATATTTTTGTCTAACCACAGTACTAGGCAAAGAGCCTAGAAAAAGCAAATGCTCCTTAGAATTCTGTTAAATTGAATGGAACAAAGTTGAATTCAGTGAGAATGGAGATATTGTGATCACCCAAATCTCAAAGAAGAGGAAACTGAGGCTCAGAGAAGTTACAGAGCAAATCAACCACAGTCTTGGAGCTTGTAAGTGATGGAGCTGTGCTCAGAAGCCAGCTTCTCTTATTCCAAAGCCTATGCTATTTTAATATAGTAGATGCCTCTGTGAAACAGGATATCTTACTATTCTCTTTATTTGCAGGATTTTTCACTCTAATCTTAAAGTCACTTAGCCAGTTTGCAATCAGTGTCCTTATCTATAACTCAATGATAAAAACAGCAAGGCTAAATGACAGCTGCCAAGATAAAGGGGTAAATTGCCAATTCTCAGGTTGGACTTGTTCTAGAATATTAGTGTTGTCATGCAGATAAATAAAAAGTACCCGCCTGTAGAAAAGTCCATCTCAACTTGTCAAAGTTAAAAAATTATCCAAATCCAAAAACTTCCCCAGAGCTAACCAGATATCTCATGACTCTCTGGCCCTGCAAACAGCAAAATTTCTCAGCAGCTGCAAAAAAAGAGAGGAACCCATTGGTGCAGCTGAGCAGAGGGTTACAAATGGATTCATCAGGGGAAAATGCTAAAATGCCCACAGGTGTGAGAGGACCCATACGTTCAGTCTACTCAAGAATCCACTGGAAAAAAAATTAAGTTCTCAGAGCAGAGGCAGCCTGCACCCACTCCACAGATGATGAAAGAGTGAGAGGAGGCACCCATGCCTAATTACATTATGGTACTTTCCACAGTGCTGCATCTGGAGTGATTTCTCAAGTGTAAAGATAACAGAAAGTGTGAGATAAGGAGGGAGGCTGGGCTGCCTCATTATGATGTCACAGATGTCTTGTGGAACAATGGGCCCTCAGAAGTGCCTTATGCTGAGCTTTTTGAGATATCACAACAAACTTACATGAAAAACCCTGGGTACTCCAGCAGGCGTTGACCGAAGAGAATGATTCCATGTTGTTCTTTATTTCCTTTCCCACACTTACTCTCTGATCTTTCTTTGTAAGTATATAACTTAGATCATGGATCAGAAAACACCACCCAACAATCAGGAGGGGCTCCAAAGGCAGAACTTCCTTAACTTCTTTGATGTCCTTAGAAGTGATGTGTGCACCCTGCAATAAGTAAAATCTAGACCAGCGGTCAACAGACTTTTTCTTTCAAAGACTAGACAGTAAGTAGCATAGGCCTTGTGGACCTGACCATCTCTCACAACTGCTCAACTCCACTGACATAGTGAGAAAGCAGCCACAGACATTATGTCATGAATGAAAATTGCTGTGTTCTGATAAAACTATATTTATGAAAATGGTCCACAGGCCAGATCTGGCTCAAAGGCTGTGGGTTACTGACCTCTAATCTGAACCCTAACAGGCCAGATAGGTGATATATCCAAATGTCTATGCCATTGCTCCTTCCGGTTAAATTCTCTGCTTCAAATTGCTTATTTTTGTGCTTTCTGGCTCACTCATGAAAGTGCAGAAAAAAGTGACAACTCAGTAATAGTCACATCAAGAAAAATGATACATGTGGAAACACTTTGGAAAATCTTACAAATGTAGGGCATTACTATTAGCACAAACAGATCCAACCAGATTTGACCGGAGTTCATTCATTCAGGGTTCATCACACAAGCATTTTTTTTAAATGTATGTCATATGTCAATTACTGTGTGAGACCCTGAAGACACAAAGATAAACAGAAGTTCCCTTCTTTTAAGGAACTTTTGGTCAAGTATAAAAAAGCAAACCAGCAAGGGCAGTGTAGTGTGATGGGCCCAATAATGTCGTCAACGCTTTAGACTATCCCAGATGTCTTTCCTTTCTGGGACTCCTTTGTCACACACCCTCTTCCCACTGCTCTCAAGCCCTTCTGTTAAGACTAATTAGTCCACCAGTTTGAAGATTGGTACTCCAGGGAATGAGAGAACCATGACACTGCTCAGCTTCTTAAATCCACAGTGAAATGACAGTCCTGAAAGCCAAATTTCAAGCAGAAGAAAACTAACTATAAAAGTTTGGTTATATTTTCCCCTAAATCAAGAACGAATGCTTGGAAGATTAACTCTAGAGGCAGAAGGATGAATATTCAATGTAAGGGAAATTTCTGCTACAAAGGAAGAAGAAAGCCCTCTCAATGCCTGGGCGAGAAATTCAAGTAAGAGGAACATTCCCCATCATTGGAATTGGCCCAACAGAGAAGGGTGATGAGTTGTAGTGGTTGCTTGAAGAAAAGAGGGCATGTACTTAGAGAAGAGAGGGAAATGGGGAAAGAGAGGAAGGAAGGAGGGGAGGGAAGGGGATGTGTCAGAAAGTTGAAAGGAGGAAACAAGAAGCTCTGCTCTGGATCTTGTGTATGGTGTTGCAGGCAGCGCTGGGTTGGGGCGCCACCTTTGTGACCCCCATAGATCTCATCTTAGGCCTGCATCTGAGTCTTATTTCCTGGCATTACCTTATCATCATGTCCCCTGCAAACTTCAACTCTACCTCCCTGCCTCCATTCTTGGCTGGATGTACAAGTCTGGAACTGGGTCAGCTCCTCAATAAGAAGTGATCGTAGTTTGCAAGCTGGAACTGGACTTCACATTTTGGCAGCAGTCTTGAGGGTAGGGGAAAGGGAAGTGCTTTCCAGTTGGGGTGGAGTGCATGACTGCTGGATTACAACACAGAATATATATCTTCTGGTGACTTCCCAGCTGCAGAATCCTGGCTGCAATTAGAAACCTATACGTCTAGTCATTTTATCATTTTTATACATTTAGGAGCTCAAGTGTTTGCTCTAGCAGCCTGCAGCTGGCTTGCTGTCAACTCCCAGCTGTTGTTTAGCTGAAACGCCACAGCTAAAATTGTGGGCCAATATGACCGGAAACCAAATTGGGGGCTGGATAAAAAAGTTTGGAATTGGTTAACAAGGTTTAGTGCTCTCATTCTTTGATTCAACCAGGTGAAACCCACTCATTTAGAAGAAAGCAGAGCATGGTAACTTGAAACCCATCCAGACACTTTTGAGAACGCTTTACATAAAACAGACTCACCCTGCAAACCAATGGTCTCTCAATGATTATCCAGGTGCAACACATGTCATTCCATTAGGTAGGCTTCTAGTTTTCCCCGCTTCCCAAGGATCACCAGTTCAGAGACTTAATTCTAAAAAAGTAAGTTTGGCTGCTTAGAGAAAGGATGAATTCAATATTTGACATTTGGGGTAGTGTTCTTCATGAGTCCTTGGACAACTGCAGGAAAATAATATTATTCCCACAGTTGGGTCCTTCATAGATAAGATTGAGAGGCTACCTAAATGCATTAGCCTTGCTGTCTGGCACGGTCTGGCCCTCCTTGCCAACTGAGCCTTCATTTCTCTCTTGATTGAAGCCAATTCCTTTTAAAAAAAAAGGGGGGGGGGACTTTTCTTTTCAAATTTTCAGCTCATTTCATTACCAAGGGCATCCAGGTTTCTAAGAAGTGCCTTCCTCAGACCTATAGTCTGCATTGATCCAGCCCAGTACAAAATGTTTCTGATGACTCCATAATGTCACATCATTTATTAATTATAATTTTCATCGTCATTCTGTTCACTGGCAATGGAGTCAACTGCACTGTGAGCACCATAGATCTTCACAAACTGTGGCTTCATTTCCTCCTTCTCTTCTCACTTTTCTTCAGCTGTCATGGGGCTGGGGAGCAGCTGCCCTTGGAGGAAGCAAGCTCCTTTATCAAGCAAAGAGCTACAATAGGAAGAGAGAGATTGCAGGTGGACTGAACTTGTCTCTGGATAAATATTGCACCTTGTGGCCATTCCCTTGTGACCTGACCTTTCCACTCTTTCATTTCTGATTATAGAATGCCCTCTGGTTCCAGTTCTAGAAGGTCAGGGAAGACTGAGGATCAGAGCAAGAAAGAGCTAGCAGGCCCAAGGGATAGAGGGATGGTTAAAACCACAGAGTACTGGTTGACTAAAGATCCTGGGCAATTCCATAGAAAGGGTGTGCAGTACCATCTGAGTCCTATAGGCTGAAATGTCATGAAGATAAACATCTAGCAGGTTATATAAAGAGAATAACATGGAAAGCTATGCAGGTAGGGTTCACATTCAGGACTCAAGCTGGGAACTGGGCCACTAGGTAAAGATATCATCAGAGGTCAGCAGGAATCAGTGTGCAGAGATGCAAGTTGAATAAAACCATAATCAAGAGTAGAGTAAATATAGACAGGCATGGCTGAGACCCACATATCCACAAGCAGGGAGACATAAGGAGGGAGACAGAGCATTTGAACTTCAAAAGACACATGGATGTTAATTGTACTGACCATTATCTTACTAATGGCAATGAGGTAGAGAAAATAAAATTATAATACAGAGTCTAAATAATATAAAAAGGAATTCTCATAGCTATCCTCAAGTTCTTTACTCATAACAACTATATTTACTCCATTTATCTCTTTCATTCACGCAGCAAACAGTTGTCTTGTGCCTGCTCTGGGAAATGGACTGCGCCAGGTGCCCGTGTTACAAAACTGAATAGACAGAGTCTGTGTTTTCAAGGATCTCACCATCCTGCCAGGGAGGCCAACATACACATGACCACAATAAAGTGTGACAACAATTGTGATGAGGTGATCAACAAAGCACAAGTTGAAAAGTGTGAAAAGAGGACACAAGAGTCTCTCCTATACATGGAGAAGGGGGATGAGTTAGGAAAGATTTTAGAAAAGGAGTAACATATCCTGGGCCTAGAAGGATATGAAAATAGAAGAGAAAAAATGAAGAGAAGGCAAACTGGTCAGAAGAAACAGTACAAGCAAGGAACAGAGAGGTAAAAATCCACAGTGTAGATCAGAAGTGGAGAATAATAAATGCCCTTATGGAGAACTCATAAAGTGCCATACATTATACAAAGAACTCTGTGTATTTTATCTTTATTTAACGTTTGGCACAGAATAGGCAAGGAGAAATTTTATAATTATCTCCAGATTAAAAATGAGGAGACTAAGGCATATAGAACCTTGCCATAACTTGTAAATGGAAGAACCTAGATTTGAACCCAGGTAGATGTGATGTCAATGCCCAGCCTCTTAGTTGCTATGCAAATCTTCCTCGGGTCTAATGTACGCGGGGAGAAGAGAAGGAGGAAATGAAGCCACAGTTTGTGAAGATCTATGGGTGTGATTCCAAAGTTTAGACCTTCAGGCTGAGGTTGCTCACAGGTGGTTCTACAGATCACCTGCATTGGAATCCCTTGGGGAGGGGGTTACTATGCAGATTCCCAGGCCTCGCTCACATCTCCTGAATCCTGAACTATGGGAGGAAGCCTGGGACTTTACATTTGAACAAACAAGTCTGAGGGATCTGAAGGAAAGGTTGAGAAACTGATTTAGGTCAATACTTCCCCAGTCTGAGGATATACAAAACCGTCCAGGAACCTTGTTGAATCTACAGCATCCTGGGATTCAGATTCTTTCAATAGGTCTGGGTTGGGCTCAGGAATATTCTAATTAAACCTATGGGTTGATGACCATTAAAGAAGGGGGTAATGCATTCATATTTGTGATTTAGAAAAAAAATAAATAACCTCTGATGGAAAGACAGAATGGAAAACCAGAAGCCAAAAAACCCAGTTGGTTAGTGTTATAATTATCATAATTTAAGTACTATAATTTAAGCAGGAGATGGTGAAATGTAAACCATGCAAGAGTGAAAATGAAAAAAAGACTATTAAAGAGGTAAAATCACTAAGACTTGGTAACTGATTAACATAGGGGGAATGGATAGAAGGGGTTGAAAACTACTCTAAGGTCTCCAGCTTGGACTCATGGATAGAGGCTAATGCCGCAGGAGAGTGGAACTTATTCAGTAGTGACCAGGTGGCATATGGCATTTTGCAAATGCTATCTTGTGTTTAACAGATATTTATTATGAACCAGGAATTAATGTAAGACCATGAGACTACAAAGATGAATAGTATGTAGTCTCCTCACTTGGGGATTCTGCCATCTGACTGGGAAGAGGGCAGATATACTGTTAAACAGGTGAGACCAACGTGTCTACAGAATGATGGGAGCACGGAAGAGGAGATGAGCCAGCCTGGAGGTTCAAGGAGGTTTTCTGGAGGAAAAGGTCCTTAATATTATTCTGATCCTCACGGAGTTGAGGGAATCTCCTCTGACAAGTTTAGGATTAGCAGTATCAGATCGGTAGGTCCTGGGTAGGAGATTACGGTTCCCAACACTCTCTTGGGGAAGAAATTATTACCATTGCTTTACAGATAAGGAAACAGAAACAGAGATACATGCATGACATTACTCAATGTCAACTGAGTTAGATGGAGTGATTTCAAAAGCCATACTTTCTCAGCGAGAAAACAGATTTGCATTTTTGGACATTCTGAGTTAGAGATGAATGAGACACAGCTGGATTGAGGTATAAAGACAGTTGGGTATATGGATCTGTACTTAAGATGAAACTCAGGGCCGGCCCGGTGGTGCAGTAGTTAAGTTTGCACGTTCCGCTTCGGCAGCCGGGGATTCATCAGTTCGGATCCCGGGTGCGGACATGGCACCGCTTGGCAAAGCCATGCTGTGGTAGGCGTCCCACATATAAAGTAGAGGAAGATGGGCATGGATGTTAGCTCAGGGCCAGTCTTCCTCAGCAAAAAGAGGAGGATTGGCAGCAGATGTTAGCTCAGGGCTAATCTTCTTCTTCAAAAAAAAGATGAAACTCTTGCTGAAAATAGACCTTTTGGAGTCTTCTTCATAGAAATCAAGTTCAAATAGACAAGCATCGATCTGATATGTATTTGCCAGGCTCTGCAGACATGTGACATAAGTGTAGAGATACGATCCAATACCTGGCTGTGAAAAGTGACAGGTCAGGAGTTCTTAACTTGAGGTTCAGGGACCCTCCATGTTGGTTAACGGCCTCTAGAAGTTTTGTGTACAAAAATGTTTGTATTTGTGCATTTTTCTGGGGTAAGATCATTGATGTCATCAGATACTCAAAGAGATCCATGATCCAAAAGAAATTAACACCACAGATTTAAGACCTGACAGTGTAAAAAAAAAAAAATATATGTTTCTTATCCATACATTGTAATAGATTATGAAAAGTGACACATATATTTGTGAGTTGTCTGTGCAGTCCTACATGAAAATGAATGTCAATTATTAAAGAGCAAAATGTCTGACCTTAGCAGGGCTACTGAAGGAGTACCAGATCATCTTGATTGTTGCCCACAGACATCCTCTTACAATTTTGATTTAGCCTGGAAGTTACATTTTCACACAAAATTGTAAATTACAAACCCTCTCTGGCAAAACAGTAGAGAAGCAGCAGATGAAACACAGAAGCAAAACAGGGCTGCATTAGAAATGACATGAAAACAGAAAGATGATTCTGCAAAGAACATGATGGAGATTCTACAAAGCATACTGAAAGACAGAAAAACGATTTTCTTGGATATAAAATTAAGACTTTACACCTACAAATCAGATTTCTTGAGCAAGTACAGACTAAGGGAGTAAGAATTATTCTTATTTTTTGAGTACTAATCGTTCAAATACAGTAATAGTTACAAATACAATAATTGAGTACTTCCTATGTTCCAGACACTATTGTCAGCAATTTACATGGATTCTCTCTTTTGATCTTCACAACTCTACTTTGAGATAAGAACTTAATTTTCTCAATACTCCCGAAGAGAAAACTGAAGCACAAATGGTTTAAAGAGCATGCCCAAATTACCCAGCTAGGAGCAGGGAGAGCTAGGGTCTGTACCCAGCATTGTGACCCAGAACCTGCATGTGCTCAACCACATCACTGTACCACATGGCCTGGAACAAAAACAGACCAAAGATGTCTCAATCCATGAACAATCAAGATGACACCAGAATAAGAGGGATGAGAGCATCCTCTAAGCCATCTCTACTCAAAGTATAATCTGTGGGCCAGCAGCATTGGCATTACCTGGAGTTTGTTATAAATTCACAATCTCAGGTCTCACCCCAGATCTGCTGAATTTAAATCTAATCTGCCTTTTAACAAAACCTCCAATCAACTTTGTGTAAAGTTTGAAGAGTGCTACTCAAAGCCACATCTGAATAATGATGAGATGTTAACAGCCAATACCGGAAGATTTCAACTTTTGATTTTTACTGTTTATATATAAAAATTATGCTTATTTTCCATGTATGTCAGGAGTCAAACAAACTCTTACTGTCAAGGGCCAGACAGTAAATATTTTAAGCTTTGTGGGCCACGCAGTCTCTGTTACATCTATTCAGCTCTGCTATTGTAGTGCAAAAGCAGCCACAGATGACATCTAACCAAATGGGTGTGGCTATGTTCCAGTGAAACTGTTTTTAAGGACTCTGAAATCTGAATTTCATATATCACAAAATATTCTTTTCTGATTCTTTGCTCAATCACGTAAAAATGTAAAAACTATTCTCAGCTTGTGGGCAACACAAAAACAGAGGATGGCTCAGACTTGGCCCATGGGCCACAGTTTGCCAACTCGTGATACATACCAAGCTGTATTAAATTTTCATTCCGTGTGCAGATTCATTCATTCAAAATTAATCCTTACTCTGCCTTTATAGTGGAGAACTCAATAACCCCTCCAGGTAGTTTCACAAAAGCACAAAAGATATAAACAGAGAATTGCAGAAAGATCCTTTTATCCAAAATGGATGGATCAGTAAACCTTCCAACCGAGGCTGTAGAGCTCTAATATGAGTTCTTCTCCGAGAATTACTTTCAGCCCCCCAAATCTGTCCCACCCCAAGTCATGCTCCTTCCCTGGGGGCAACCTACAAGACCGTCTATGCCAGAACTTAAAGGTTTGGCCCCCTAGCCTCAGGACTCTGAAGACTACCTCAGCTGCAGCACAATCTAAGGGACCAGCTGAGGCCTCTGTTGCTATTGCCTTGCCGTTCATTCAGCTCCTCCCTCTGCCCAACCCTGCTGCCTTTACTCCTGCACAGGTGTGGATCCCGCACACACTAACCAATAAACTTGCTACCCATAAATCTCCATCTGAGTCTGCTTGTCAGGGAACGCAACCTAAGGTACCTGCTCTGTGGGGGCCACTCTTGCCTTCTTCAGATGTGCCACATTCTCTTCCCACCTCAGGGCCTTTGAACACGCTATTCTAGCTGGCTGGATTGCACCTGTCCCATTGCTGCTGCCTTCTCATCCTTCACATGTCAGTTCATATATTGCCTCCTGGGAGAGACGATGTCATCCCTCAGGAAGCATTACGATTAACTTCAGAACACTGATTTTATTTTGCATGAAGACTACGTCTGTCTTGTTCACCATTACACCCTCCATCCATAGCAAAGCCCCTCGACTTCAGTAAACATTTGTTGAATTAGTGGATCTAACATCTCCTCTAATCACCACATTAAAAACAATGTACCATGAAATGCTAAACTGAAATCTCAATTTCCTAGAATAATATTATTGTCTTGCGCTCATCCTGAGCATGCTGTCATCAGGTCCAACCAGAAGTGTGACAGGATCATCAACATATTAACCAACACCTTGCTCAGGATGCTTTGACTGTTGCACTTGGCGCGGTCCACCTTGCCTGTTGCTTGCACCTGTCCTCAGCTGTGTTCTGCTCTTTGTGAAGAGTTCTCAGAGATGAGTGAGGTTCAAAATTAGTTGCCCTTCAGCTCTAAAAGCCAATGGCAGGTGGAAACTCACAAAGACAGAGGTTCTGAGTAAGGACGGGGGTGTGGAGAGGGTAAGGCACATTGAAACAATCTAGGAAACTTATCAAACTTTTTCCCTCACCTCCAGTGATTCTTATCTAACCTCACCCAAGGCTTTGAAAACCTTCTCTTAGTAACTTCACAGCATCCGTCTCAGTTGAGCTGCACAATTGTAGAGTCTGGAGG